TATATATATATATATATATATATATATCCTAAATCTTAAACCTTATATATATAAAGATAAAATGAAATCAGTTTGAAATAGATTCAAATATTTTATGTCATAACAAAGATAAAATATGTCTCTTTGTTTGAGAAAAAATATGCTTAGAATAAATCAATATTTTTTGTCGTAGATTGGAAGCTGATCTCTCAATGAAATCAGTTTGTCAAAAGAAGAGGAAGGAGACTTTATAATTTTAACAAGAAGTTGAAAGACAAGTGGAAGAACTCTTGAAGGTTGGATATATAAGGGAGGTGAAATATACCATGTGACATGCTAATTTATGTTGGTAACAAAGCATAATATTATTGGTGTGTTTTGTGTTTACATCATCATTTAGTCTTGATTTGATAGGAAGCTCGCAAAGAGTGATACATCTCTTATTAACGATCAATTGGTCAGCACATATCTAATTTGGTGACTAGGTCTATTTAATTTGTTGGTTGATCTAATATAATTGGAGGCCAATTAGTCTTTCTTTGTACAAGTGTATTTGATCGTTTTTTTATCTTTTTTGATTTGTTTGTGGATTTGGTTTGGTTTCCAACTTTGTATTTCTTTTCACTTTGAATAATAGTTTTTTTTTTTATAATACATCCATCTTTTTTTTTTCTTTCAAAATTTGGGCTGTAATTATGTGTTAATTACAAGTTAAATAAAAAGAACCTAAAAACAAACAAAATTTCTCAACAAAAATGCAAATCTACATCGATTTAGCTACAAATAAATGTAAATAAGGATATAATTCTACATTAGTTCATCCAAAATCGATGTAGGTTTTAGAATTTAAATCTACATCAATTTTCAAATAGAATTGATGTAGATTTATGTCCTAATCTACATCGATTTTCATATAAAATCAATGTAAATGTAAATATTTTGCACTGGTTTAAAAATCAATGTAGTAGTCTATACATTTTTAAGTCACTTTATTCTACATTAGTTTCAGAACTGATGTAGATGGCTTCACAAAATCGTTGTAGATAATGCATCCTATAGTAGTAAGATCTACTTACTTCAAGTGTAAGTTATGCTAGAGTTACTTTAGTCAATAATTCATGTTCTACATTGAATTTCAATTATCTAAATGTTGAAGTAAGAGTTCTTGTTCTTAGTAAATAGATCAAGTCTAAAAAATTTAAAAGCTATTTGATATTTGATTACATTAAACCAAATGGATGTATATTCTTAAAAGCATATTATACGCTAATTTGAATCTTTATAACAAAATATTATATAGTTTTAAAACTTTACAAAATTTTGTAAACTTAATATATTCATTAAAAAATCATAATTCAACAGTTGAATTTTTGAATTCAATATAAAGCATGAATATATATATATATATATATATATATATATAAATATATATATATATAGTAAGTCTACCTAGACTTACTCCGTTCAATAACTCATGTTCTACATCAAATTTCAACGATTCAATCATTCAATTTAAAGTTCTTAATACATAGATCAAATCTGCAAATTTTTAGAAAATTTGAAAATCATTTGGTACTTTGTTTCATAATTCGAATTAATGTATAAAATGATTTTATGATTATCCGTCAATTTGAATTAACGAAATGAAGCATCAAATGATTTTTAAATTTTCTAAAAATTTGCAGATTTGATCTATGTATTAAGAACTTTAAATTGAATGGTTGGATCATTAAAATTTAATGTAAAACATGAGTTATTGAACGGAATAAGTCTAGGTAGACTTACTCCTAAAGTAAAAGAATTCCTCTTCATATATATATATATATATGAGTCAGGGTCCATTGACATTACGTGTAATGCATTCAATAACTTTTTATATAATGTAAATTTAACTAATCCAACAATTGAATTATATGATTTATATTAAATTTCACATGATTCAAAAATTATTTATTAGTTCATCACATTGTTTTATTTTTACGTATAATATGACATTAAAAATATTGTGTAAATACCTATTTTTGGATAACATTTCTAGAAAAATTTAAATCATTTGAAATTTGATATAGATGATCTTAAGTATAATATGATATAATTTAATAATTGTATAAGTTAAATTTACATTACACAAAAGTTATTAAAGATATATAATTTGGTATATGTGTCAATGGATCATGTCTTTATATATATATGTGTGTGTGTGTAGACAAGTTAACTTAGTAAACCAACTGGATGGACCAACCTAACCCATCCTACTTTCAACATGCTAGATAGGCAAGTTAGGCAGAGTGAGTAAGTAAATTGAACTATTTAACCTATCATGTCATTTTCAGTAGATCAAATGGGTTGACCTGACATGTTCAACCCACTTTATCATTACTAAGATTGAGGAGATACTAAGAAGGGCAAAGCTTCTTTTTTTTGCTTAGCTAGCTTTTGAAATTTGTTTATTTTTCTTTATTGAGTTATATGACCTCTAGAATGAGAGTGAAGTTTTGTTTTTCTTTTGAGGATTTGTCAGGTATATATTGGTTACCTATTTTTTGTTAATTGACGTACACTTTTATAATTTTTTAAAAATATTTTACTAGTATTTAATTTAAGATTAAAACATTCTCATTTAATGATGTATGTATGTTAGTAATGTCTTCTTAATGTAACACCTATAAAGAAAATGATGAAAAAAAAGTGAAGGTAGCTTGAGTATATGTAAACAAAAGTACCATCGTCACGATTGACAACTGACAACATATTAGGAAAGAACTACGACAAATGGTGTACAATTATCATATTCAATATTAATTAAAAATAATATTTGATTAAATAGTTAATTAAAATATTTATTTGATTTGCTACAAAATCACAAAATGAAATAAAAATAAAAAAATAAAAAATAAAAAGACACATGACATCTTTATCTTATTTACATGACTAACAACTAAAACTTATTATGCAAAGGTGGATAATAAAATAAATAGTTAATATTTATTAATTATATCTAAGAATGAGCCTTTGATTATTGAGAAATATCCTTGACTTATGCTAGAGAAAAAAAACAAAAAAAAAAGAAAAAAGAAAAACTAATCCTAGCCAATTAATTCATTTTTTTCTTAAAAACATCTCAAAATAAGTAAAAGGCCTAATCATTCATGGAAAAGTAAGATTTTATTATCATATTACTCCATGTTTAGAATTTCTATCTTAAGTAATCACCCATTTTGAGCTTTGACCTTTTGTCCATCATCAAATTTGAAGAAACAGCTATGCAAAGCTAAAGAACTCTTGTCACCAAACCAACTTTTCTCGCATCTTTCTCCCCCTTTATAATACCATTTTATCTACCAATGTTTTGAATTGCAGTTTGGAACTGCAATTATGATAACCATATTGGGGTTAAGGCAGTCATCACAACTTGTGTTTGACATGTGAAACAACTCCATTGTGTCCTAATTGTTGCAAATTTGTTTTTGAATTCAAATAGTGATTTAAATAAACATAGTGTTTTAATGCGTACATTCACAAAATTGAAAATGGCTTATTCATATTGCAACTCTCTTTTTTTTCTTCTGTCTATCTTCTTAGCCTCAAGCACATTTGCATTGGGTGGGAATTTCTACGAAGATTTTGACAATCTCTTTGGAGATGTAAGGGTTGACATTCAAGAGTTAGGCCAAAGCATGACCCTCACAATGGACCAATATTCTGGCTCAGGCATTGTATCCAAGAATGAGTATTTGTTTGGAAGATTTGATATGCAAATCAAGCTTGTACCAGGAAATTCTGCAGGAACTGTCACAGCCTTTTACGTATGTCCTTCTCCAAACTCATTATATATTAAGCTTTTCTCACATGTTTAATATATATAAGTGATAAAAAATAATTAATATTGACTATAAATTATATATGAACATAAAGTTTTTTCTTATTAATTAGGTGAATTTTGCTGCATAATAACCACACATTTCATACATATATAGTTAAAAGTAAAATAATTAAACTAATTTCAATTATTTGTATATGATTATGGTCATCATTATTTACTTTTATTTCATAAGGTTTGATAATCTCACTATATTTATTTATAGATTATGGCAAAGTTATTGATATGTGTTTTGTGTGCAGCTTAGCTCTCAAGGAAATAACCATGATGAGATAGATATAGAGTTTTTGGGCAACTTATCTGGTGATCCTTATTTGCTTTCAACAAATGTATATGCTGATGGTGTTGGGGGTCGTGAAATGCAATATTATCTTTGGTTTGATCCAACAGAGGACTTCCACACTTATTCCATTGATTGGAACCCTGATCGCATAATGTAAGTAGCAAAATGTATATATATAGTTAGATATATGCGGCTACATATTTAAAAGAAATAATTACGCTAATTTCTTAAGATTAATGTTAATTACACTTTCACATTTTGATTGAAAAATCAATATTCCTGTTTCCCTAATTTATCTTCTACTTTGTTGTTTTTAAAATTACTATATATATATAATTAATGTGTAACTTTTCAATAAAATATATTAATGTAATTAATACTTTAGTGAAATTTGGATATATTATTGTTATAAATTTGTTATAATATCAAATATTTTTTATTTCTTTTTATTTTAGAGAGTAAAACCAATGTAATAACATTTGAGTAACAAATGCAACCACTTTGAATAACCAATGTAATGCAATCACATTTTCGTTCTCTTATTCATACCTTTTTCTTTTTGCAACAACAAATTAATAACCTTTAGCACAACACAATTAAGCACATTTGTCATCATAAGAAAGAAGCAACAAACCATATAGAAATACATGCATGCATGCACTCAATTTAACTAACCAACTAAAAAACTCGCACCCTAATTAGTAATTGTCTCATCGCTCTTTTGAAAGTAACAACAAAGCACAACTTGTTAGTGACGATGTAGCAAAAGGTGCACATGGCAATACCATCATTGTTTGAAAATCGCTACCAATCGTAGAAGGTGGCCCAACCACAATTGAGCACATAGTAGCCTAGTATTTCGTGCTTCTTGAGCATAATCTCAAACTTGTGCCCTCGTGTGTTGTACATGCACATTGGAAGTGCGTGGCATAGGTCCTCGTCGTTCCTCAGGAACCCTAGCACATTGCAATCCTCAAATGCAGTTGTAGGCAAAATGAGGTTCCACTTGTCATTCTTGGCTCCCAAATGCGCCCTAAAGGGCTTGTTGAGTTTGAAGTCCTTTACGAGGCCCACGTTGAGGAGGAACTCCAACTTCAACTTGTCACTGAGGGCTTCTTCATGGTGTTTTTTGATGTCTTCTTTGACCACATTTTTGCCCTTATTATTATTTCTTGTTGGATTTGAACCCTCTACAGCCATTGCCTTTTTTTTGTTTGTAATCATGGGTTTATGTTTGTGGATTTCTCTTTCCTCTATTTGTTCCCTTAAACATTTTGATATTGTCTTTGAGAAATCATAATAGTGACCCTAAGATAGGACAATGTAATTAATTTCTTCAAAATCATGTATTTAAGATTTCAAATTTATTGATATATATTTCTTGTGGTTTCAGAATCCTGGTTGATAACATTCCTATCAGAGTTATGAAAAATAGGAAAACCATTGGTGTTCCTTTCCCAACAAAACAACCCATGAGGCTTTACACTACTCTTTGGAATGGAGATTCTTGGGCAACAAGATGGGGAGCAGTAAAGCTTGATTTGTCAAATGCTCCATTTGTGGCAGGCTTCAAAAATTTTAATGCCAATGCTTGCATTGCAAAGAATGGCGGTGCAAATTGCAAGACTTTTAATAATGGAAAATATAGAGGTCTTGATGAAGAAAGCAAGACAAAAATGCAAAATATTCTCTCAAAATGGGTAGTTTATGATTATTGTCGTGATTTAAGACGTTATGCTCATGGTCTCCCATTTGAATGTCGCAAGGATAATCTATTATTAGATCAATCAGAATAAAGGTTGCATTAATCATGAATGTTGCACCATCATAATGTATTTAATCCATCATATAATGTATTCAATTCAAATGAATGATATCTAAAGGAAAAGTTGGATCGACCATTACACAAGATGCAATCGTTATATTTTATAATGTGTGTTTGAATTTCCTTGAAAGGTCATAATTTTATTAAAGAAAATAAAATATTAGCTATTAATAACCTTGAATAGATAATAAGTAAGATGAATTACATATATGTTCAACAAAATTAATACTTGAATTATTTGTCAATTGTTTCAATATATTAGCTATTAACATCCTTGAACAAATAGATTCCCCCAATAATGCACAAATTAAGGAATGTAATTATAATATAATATTCTCATATATGAAAATTCTTTTAAAATTTAAAATATAACATCCTTTACACTAAATTTTATTTTTAATTTGAATAAACTACTTTCCCTTATTTTATAATTTAATCAATATTAGCTTTGTCTCTTATTTTTCTTATAGGTGATGTTGTCTATGTGGAAGAATCACTTGATTTGAGTAAAAATCCTTTTGAAGAGAGAGGGGATGATGGAAACCCACTTCCCATGTAATCCCTTTAGAAGAGATAAGACCAAGAAAGGTGAAGGATGATAAAGTTGGTTAGAAGAATTGCAGGACAATTACCCTTATTTTGTAGGGTACCCTACCTTTGGAGGCCTAACCTACCTTAGAGGGCTCCTATAGTTTTTATACATCTTTTTTAATTCATTTTAGTAGTGATTATATTAAGATTTTTTTGACCTTTTATTTTGGGTCAAGTAATATAGGTAATTTTGTTGTATTATATATTTTTATGACAAAAATATATTTTTCGTCCCTTATATTATTTATTAGATTCAATTTAGTCTCACTTTAATTAATTGAATCAAGGTAAAAATACTAATTTGGTCCCTTATAATATTTTTAATTTTTAATTTAGTCTCACCTTAATTTTTTATTTCAATTTGGTCCCTAATAAGTTAAATCACTGTAATGTCGGACCTTCCGTCCAAATTTCTTAAACGGAGTTAACTGTTGGCCACATGGATGCCACATAGATGCATAGGTGGTAAGGTCCCATGTCTTCCTCCTCCTCCATCTTTAATGCATCTGGAAGGCCCGTTCTGAAACCAGAACGACCCGTTATGGTTACACTATTTGTGTTTTAATTTTGTATCTAGAACGGGTCGTTCCAGATGCAATATTTTAAACACAACGAGTGCAAGCAGAATGATCCATTCTGACACCAGAACGGGCTGTTCTGGTTCCAAAACAGACGTTCTGGATTCAGAACGAGCTGTTCTAGAAAGCCAACGTATGTTCAACAAAATGCAGCAATGTGGTTCAAAGATTGAACACAAAAATTCATAATATAACATAAATTCAAAGACTGAAATATGATTCAGAGACTACAAACAAAAATTCATAACATAACATAAACTAAGAAAGTTCAAATAAATTACTAAGGAGGGAAATAAAATCATGTTGTTTCATCCTTGACTGTATAGTGTCGATTTGGTAGTAAGTGATTCACTCCAACTTGACTAACAATGAAATAAAATCTACCACCATTGTCCTTAGTGTCCTTAGTGATACACTACATTGCATAACAAGTATTATAATTAATACTTCTAGGAGTTCCTATATCCTGCAATTGGTCCAAAAAGGGTGTATAGCCCAAATGTTTAGCAATTGAAGTTATGAATCCCTCATTGACAATATTACCAAATTCAGTGTTTGAAATGTTTTGTCCTTGGGCTTTTTTTCCTTGAACAATTCACAATCGTGATTTAGAATCACAAGCGTGAACTATAATCATTGACCGTTTGTGGTTGGCGTTTTGGGACTAGATCGACTCATTCTGAAACTAGAACGGCCCGTTCTGATTTCAGAACGGGTCGTTCCAGATGCATTAAGTGGCACCTTGCCACCTATGTATCTATGTGGCATCCACGTAGCCAACAATTAACTTTGTTTAAGAAATTTGGATGGAAGGTCCGACATTGTAGTGATTTAACTTATTGGAGACCAAATTGAAACAAAAAATTAAGGTGGGACTAAATTGAAATTTTAAAATATTATGAGGGACCAAATTATTATTTTTGCCTTGAATCAATTTAGTCCCACATCTTTAAAATGTATCTCAATATTTAATTTTTCGTCTCCTCTGTTTAAATACTTAACAGATATGATATGTGTCATGCCACATGGCATGATGACATGACACGTAGCATGACAACATAACATGTAGCATGACAGCATGACACGTGTCATGACAACATGACACGTGTTAAATCTGTTAAGTATTTAAACGAAGGAAACGAAAAATCAAACATTGAGATATATTTTAAATTTATGAGACTAAATTGATTCAATTAACTAAAGTGAAACTAAATTGACACTAATAAATAATATAAGAGACAAAAAATGTATTTTTGCCTATTTTTATTTAAGGGTGTAATTAGTAGCTTTAGGGATGTGTAACTAGTTAAAGTCATGATAGGCATATTGGGCTTGGATGGCCCAAACCTTTTTATGCCCCATAGGTTTGGACGTCCAAACCAAGCCAAACTAGTCATTTAAGTTGTTAAATAAGTCACATGCATTTGATAGTGACATTTCAACAACTTGCTAACAATAATCATTAGTTTAATAGTTGTAATGATTAAGCTAGGTAGTTGGAGTTAACTTAAGCTAACCTAGGTTAAAATGCACTATATAGTAATTCCACCACCACCATAGTAATGGAGAATATGTAGGATTGGAGGTTAAAGGGTATGTTGGGCATAAAATGACACAAAAATGCAGGAACCATTGTCAACCATAATTGGAAATTTTGGGGCTAAAGTGATAGATAATTTTAGGTGATATGTAATGCAGAGCTAGAGGATATTGTGAGAGTTTCCTATGTCGATCATGACGAACACTGGTAGCCCTAAAATAGAACCCTAAGGCCATAGGGTCTAGGGAAAAGGAAAACCAGGTATGGCTTGGGAAGAAAGTTGGAAGTGAATGACTAGCGAAAAATATTGCTCTAGAGAGGTAAGGGATGCGCTAAGATTAGGTGCAGGTTTAGGTGTGAAAGCAAGGAGTAAGGGTAGGGTCTTCTAGTTAGAAATTTGGGGATTTGACACTTGTGATCGTGGTTATACTTTTCATCACTGTTAAAAAAAAGTCCATGTGCACGACATTTTTGTAACTAGGTTGGGGATAAAAGTTTAATAAGAATGGTGGGGGTAGGTTTTGGGGGAGGAGAGAAGGGCGTTAGGCAGTTTAGAGAAACCCTGGGTTTAGAGTCTTTAAGTATGGCAAGCTCACATTTGATTTTGGGTAATAATCTAAAGTAAAAAAACAATCAACCATAGCATCAGGAGGGAGGCCATAAACTTGATTAGAAATACGCTCAAAGTGGTGTTGGTATTCGATCACTATGAAGTGCTAATGGAGTTTAAACACTTTTGGCCAAAAACATTTTTGTATCCAATAAGACCGATATGGAGTTCCAAAGCGCACTCAAAAAAGGGCCAATCTATGATATTTTAGTTGTGGTACATCCATTTAAACTACACCAAGGCATCACCTTTCATATAAAAAGCTATAAGAGCGAGATGGTTGTCAAAGGGGATCTGATGGTAGTTGAAAAATTGCTCCATCTAGAACAACAAATCAAGGGGTTTTGTTCCTTAACATGGGATAAGTTGAAGCTTGAGTGGGCGACCAATATTGGAAAATGTAGTTGGGGAAAAAAGTTGGTGAAGTGGTAGGGTAAATAGTAGTGGTGTGAAGGGCATAAAAAATGGGTTAGGGGAAATAGTTGGAATAGGAGGTGTAGGTTGAAGGAAAAAAAGGGTTATGGTGTACCGATCCTTCAAGGCCCAAATGTGTAATTTTATTATGAGGAAGGGTGTTGTGATTATCAATGGTAGAGGATGAAAGTGGTTGTAAAGCGGTGAGTTTTTCAATGCTAGGAGAGAATACCATTAATAGAGTCATAACAAGCATACATCAATGATTAAAAATTCTCAAAGAATGTATCATGTTGATTCTGTCGAAAATAGCGACTAGGGTTTCCTCAACATCTTTATGAGGAGGCATGGAGGAATATGAAAGCACCAATTTTTTAAGAACTTGGTAAAATTCCTAATAAGTCTTACTTCGAGATAGACCAAGTCCCTGAACTACTAAGACTATAAAATTGAAAAGGGACAATACGACTTGCCATTTCATTCAACTATATCAGAATAAATACCACTGGAAACATTAAAGTTATGGAGAAAAGACAGACATTAAAAGTGGGTTGAATAGAGTTAATAAAAAAACTTAAACGTTTTTTAAGTAATGATAACGCTGACAGTGAAATGTGCTAGAGAAAAGGCAAATAAAACACTCAGTAATTTTATAATAGTTCATCTCAATCATATAGACTACGTCTAGTTCTTAATCTAACTAAAAATTGAGTTCTACTATCTTAAACAAGATACGTGTATTCTTTCAAAAAGTCACTTCTGACTCAAACCTAAGTGTTCTTTGAATGGCCTTTTCAAACAATCTACCTAAGTATTCTTTTCACACAAAGTCTTTCTAGGTTTTAAGACCGTGTATTCTTTTACAGTCAAGACTCTAGCTCAAACAACAAGTATTCTTTTACAAACAAGTCTTTTTAGGCTCAAACAAGTATTCTTTTAAGACAAACCTCTCTAGGCTCAAACCTAATAACTTATAGTCATTAAGGTTTACAAGTTGTTTCATCTTCCTATCAAGACATGATACAATAGTTTAAGTACAAAGATCTTTTACAAAAAGAATGATAATTCTAAAAAATATTTCTTCAAAAGTTCATCAAGAAGTCTCTTTCTTTCTGATCGTGAAGTTTCTTATAGTAGCCCGAATGAAGATCATTACAAAACCTTGAGGGTTTCTCACAAGCTTTCTTTGTCTGTCTTCATTAGAAGTTCTTTATGATTGGAAGTGTCTGTTGATGCATTAAATGCATGCATTAATTGTATTTCATCAAATTGTTATTTCTTATATAATTAAGGAGACTACTTATCACTTTAGGATACCAAACAGACTATCTACGTATGACAAGGAGAAACAGGTTTTGCATCAACTTTTGCTGACTTTCTCTATGATTTTAGAGATTTTTTTGTCCTTATTTCTCGTGCAAAGTATGACTTTATTCGCTTTAAAAGATTTGTGAGTTCCAACAAACTTTCTTAGTTTGATTTATTAAAGAAACATTTTAGACATGCAACAAGTATTTCTTATTTATTATAAATATTATGCATATAAGACTTTATGAAGTCAGACGGTATATTTTGTCTGATGGCACACAATATGTCTAACATTTTGCGTCTTATTTTTTGTCTAATTTATATATATTTTGTAAAAATATCTTCTTTTATAATATTTTGTTTATCACCATTAAAACTTAAAAATTTGAGAGATCCAAAATCGTCTTTTAACTTAACAAGAGTGTTGTTGAGCCTAAATTGGGGCCATTGCTTAAAGTTGCAAATCATTCAAACATTTTAAGTGCAGAGGCATTGTATGGGTTGAAATCTCATTCAGAACTCATAGTCTTGGTATCAAATGGGCCTTTTAGTCTCTCTTTTGGTTTTGGACTCCGTAACTTCTTGTGTTGGGCTGGAGGATCCATCAGATCACCCATGATCTCCTACTTGACGTGAAGTGGGAAATTGATCCACAAGGCAATGTGTTTATTCAAATTCAAAAGGTCACACATGACAATTCTTGGGAACGCCATCAAGACCATGTGTCCAAGGAAGTGGGACATTATCCAAAACACAATGGGTTTATCCAATTCCAAAAACCCTTATTGCATAAGCTGAAGTAGTTGTACGTATTTTTTCTTCTATAGAGGTTCTCCATCACCCATTCCTCCGTTCATTCCAAACAGGGAAGAGAATTATGTTGTTTAAAGTTGGATTTGAATGGAGTTTTAAGGTAAATGAAAAGCTTTTAAAATCGGTAATCTATTAATGAATTTTGTATATTACATTTAAAATGGGTTAAATTTTTTACTGATTTAGAATATAATATACTAAACTTCTTGTAATTTAACCAATTCTAATTACAAATATTGTTATAATTTCGAAAATGTCATCGTGTCTTCTACTCAATAAGTTGTAGCACAACCAATTTAATTAATAGTTTGATGTTGTAATTAAGCTATTTGTGTACCAGTGAAGAGAATGTTATTCCAATTTACAAAAAGATATATAAAAAAATAATATAGATGAGTTAGAAGAATAAGTAAAAGAATGGGTTGTTTAAGAATGGTGTCAACACACAAGCTACTTGTTGTGCTCGTTGTCCAACACAAGCACATCGCTACACATTGACGCATGTAGTTCAATACTCCAACAAAGGAAATTGGGTTACTCAAGATTGGTATTGAAATCAAAATACAACTAGGTTCTTCATCAATTAAATATAGTATATATATATATATATATATATATATATAAGGCATGATTGAAGTCATTTTCTAAAGGAGACATTAACATTTCTAATCTAATTGGGAGGTAGTATTCAAAATTAAAATTGCATGTCGTAGAAAACGACATTCAATTAATTGATCATCATTAGATCAAGACATTCAAATTATGAGTTGGGATTTAGCCATGTTCACAACCAAATTGATTATACTTTCTATACATAGCTACGTAATATTAATCCGAATTTAAATTATATATTCACCTAGAATTTAATTGATAAAAAATTGAATCATAATCGCAATTCAAAAATTAAAATTCATTTCAAATTGATTTTATTAACCTAGATTACTATTTAACTAAATTTTAATCGATTTCAAATTAATCAATCCTTTCAACCACTTTAGTTATGAGAATAAAACCCAAATCCAATTAGAATTAGGTATATATATATAAAAATAAAAAAAAATTATCATTGTGTAGAGATTCGTAATTGAAGAAAGAAAAATACATATGAAGCAACAATTAAGCAAAAGAATATAAAATCCCAGCCATATTCCTTGAATTCTTTGGATTTACAAGGTTAGTAGTCTTCCACGTCCATCATAATTAGAGAAGCTTTAACAAATTAATGGTGCAAAAAGCGTAAAAGAGAAGAAAATTTTTCTTAGACCTAAAAGGAACAAACTACACAAATGAATTTTCTAAGCAAAATCACACTCTAAATTGACCTATTTATAACCAACAACTCTTTTAAAATTCTTAATTAACCCTTCTTAAAAGATGGGCCACGAAATAAGTTTCCAAGAAGTACTCATATGTCTTAATTGGACTTAAAATGAGTAGGATATATTCCCAAATTAATGAAGGCGTGTTGAACACATTTGATCCAACTTCAAAGCTAAATTTGACCTTTGACTTGCTTGAATTGGCCAATTTGATAATCTACAAAACTTTTAGATCTTTCTTTTAAAGTGCCTAGCAAAATGAGGAAAATCAATTATTTACTCAAGTTATAGTCAAAACACTAAATTAAGGTCAATCATATACATCGAGATGAAAATCTGCTTCAAACTACAATTTAACTCGATGATCAAAATTGGCATCCAGATCACCTGATTAGAACCTACACATCATTAATAAAGAACTTATGTAGATAATTAATGTGTCAAAAACAATAACTATTGATAACTTTATACCAGTAGCATATGATTTATTATACTAACATGTGATATACTAATATTATATATCTATATTTTATTGGAGTTAATTGTTAGTATGATGTATCATATTAATAGCTTAGAAAAGGCTCGTAAATTTGATAATAAGATTTTTAAGACTTACATTTATTTGTCTATACTGTTTTACGGTTAATTATAGTAACTATAATCGATTACAATACATTTCATTATCTTATTTTATTTTCTTAAGATAACTCATCTTCATACTAACTCTAATATGAAGATTTCGTGGGTAGAAAGCAACTGAATGTCAATTTCGTAAGGTCACAAAATTGAAGTTTTTTAAATAAATAAAAAATGATTAAAAAAGAAGATTCAGCCAAAAAATAGTCTAACAAAATTATGGCAGAAATTAATCATCAATAAATCTAGTATTGTAAACATTTTGCAGCAATAACTAACATGAAGAAAAGAAAATGATATATGATTTTCATGTTTAATTTTTTTAATTTATTTAAATTTAATTAATTTTTGTCTATATAACTTCATAAACTTTATCTTTAAGAAATTATAATTAAATGTTTCCATCTTAACTCCTGTACATTCTACTTTTTCCCTTTTAGTCTTTATAATTGTATAAATTAAACTTTTCTTTTAATCTCTATAAAAATAGACAATAAGAATTAAAAGAAAAAATGGTATAAATAATGTTTAAAATAAAATATTTTCAACATCTATAAAAACTAAAAGATAAAATATGTGAAAACTAATTAAACATCTTGTTTATGCAAATAGAAGCCATAAATTCATAATCTATACAAAAAAAAGAGAGAAGATGAAGTTGAATATCACCTTGGTGAAACGTCACCTACGTTTTCGAAAACAGAAATAGAAGACAGCAACAACGGTTCCACAGCCTGCTGCAACGACGGGCCACACAAACCCTAACCCTAACCCTAACCCTAAGGCATTGTTTTGTTCATCTTGAGCATCGTCCCTAACCTTGGCAGTCTCCAAATCCAGAATCCTCTGCTTCAAGGCTTGAATCTCAGCGACCTTCTCTCTGACCTCGTCCTCAACCCTAACCCTCCTGCTCCGCTCCTCGCTCTCCCTCACTTCCCAAACGCCCACTTTTCTCTCCAAACTCCGAACCTTCATCTCGCTCTCCGCGTTCGCTTGCTTCAACCCCATCACTTCTCTCTCCAGAAACGCCATCCTGCTCTCTCGCTCCTCCCACGCCTCCCTCAGCGCCGCCGCCTCCTCCTCCTCCTTCTCCCGCTCCAACGCCTCCATCGTCGATTCGCCATCCATTGCCATTTGCCACGCTCAGGAAAGCAAGTTGTGAGAGAAGCAATCACGAGGTCGATCGCAAGGGACAAATTTTGGGAGGAGATGCAACTTTTGCGTGCATGCATCATGCATCAACTAGACTTTTATTCTATTTTTTTAATATATTTTTTTTTTAAAAAAATTCTTATTTTATAAAGTATTATTTTTCCTGTCAAAGGAACTAGTTAGTTAGTTAGTTACACTTACGTTTGCATGGGTTTCTACGCGTTTTTCGTGATGATTTATGTATATAATTAATTAACAATTTGTTTAATGGGTTGTTTGGGGTGGTGATTTAATAGGGAATGAAGAAGAAAGAGATGGATTATCAAAGAATTAAAAAAAAAATGTATGTTTAGAGGAGATGGTTTAAGTAGATTTGTGAGAAAATTGTGATGGGGTTTATATAGATTTAATTTCACTCTTTTAAGGGTAGACTTGTGTGAAATTTTTCACCAAAAAATGCATGGACAAGACCACTCTTACATTATTGTCTAAATAGTTAGTTAGTAAAGAATAAAAATGTAATTGTTTAAATAATGTACTTTTACGTAAAAATCTAATTGTGTAAAATACATTTTTAAAAATATCAATTTCTCTATATTTTTACATAATTCCATTTATTAAATAATTATAAATTTTAATATTTTTATTTATTTTTTATCAAATCAATTCTCACATATTCTGTTTCATTCTTGATGAAGCATAAAAGTAAATATTAAATATGCATTTGTTTCACGAAAATAAGAAACTAAAACATGAATGCTTAGTGTAAGAACAAGAGAGCAAGAGAATGGTTGACAATTATACAAAATGTATTGTTAAGTGTGGTCTCCCAAATCTTTGTAATAATTGTACATCATATGCACGACAAAGAAGGATCTTGTTTTTTCTTTTTCTCTATTAGAATAATGAACCTTGTTGGCAGTAATTTGTTCAGTGCCCTCCATAAAAATAAATAAAAATAAATAATAAAAAATCTACCATTTCGTACACAAGTTAATCTATATTGTAGATCTTGTCATTGTGCCTTGTAGCATGTTGTGCATGCAATTTGATATTTCTCATGTGATAACCAAAAGCATTCTTTATTCCCAAAATGATGGAAAGGTTGGGATTAATTTGAAGTTTGATCTCCCACAAGAAGCAAAATTTGAGTCCTTGTATAAAAATATTTATTTATTAAAAATTTTAATTATGGTATAATTTAAAGATTCAAAAATAATTATTTCTTACAAATCATAAATATACAAATTTAATATTTATCATGCGCGTTACATAGACTTAAATACTAATTAATTTTAAATATTATATCTTCTCTATATATAAATTTGTATAATTATATTGGAATAGTTATTTACATATATGGAACACATTTATTTATTTATTAAAAAATTAATTATATAAAATAGACATTCATTTTGTGTATTGCAAAAATTAAAATTAAAATTTTGTTGATAAAACGTTTTATTTCTAATTTTTTTATTAATTATATGAATAGATATAATAAAATGAAAAATATCACTAATAAAAAAATTAAAAAATATATCAAAGAGTTTAAAGTTTGAAATATTGTTTGAATCTAAATATGAAACGAATCCTAAATTTTATTGAAATTAGCCTATTAAAATCAGGGATTAATTATTGAACAAATGAAATTAAAAGCGTAATTATCATATTAAATGGTAATTAACATATCTAGTCAATCATGCCAAATGCGAACGTGATAAAAAGGCATCTGACTTCTTTACGTAGAGCGCGAGGGATGCCTTGCCAGGTGTAGTATCTGTATCGTTGATCGAAAGTAAGCAGTAAACATTGAGGCTTTTAATTTAGAGAGTGATTACATAAGTAAATAAGTGAAGAAAATAGAAAAGAGAAAATGAGAATTATAATTGAAAAAATTATAGAGAAAAGGGATGAGAATTATAATTAGATAAGTGATTGTGAGAGATTGCTATAATTGAGAATTATGGAATGTTGTGTTTGACTTGAAAATCTTTCATGTAACATTTTAGACGTTTGACGTATTATATGGTAGTGAGAAAATTCAAGTAAGGCTTGGTCATTCGAAAAGTTCATACATAGAGGTGTAGCATATGTTGGGGCATGGAAGTTTTCTTGATCAAGTGCAGAAGAGAGTAATTAATAACAACATGAGGAGATGTACTTTTGCTTCAAGGTAGTATAACTTATTTTGGTCTCAAAGCTACATGGGTGAAGGTTGAAAACTGAAAAGAATAAGTGTTTTTCTTGCTTGTGCTAGAGTTGTGGGAATGATCAATGGATGGTTATTTTTTATTTATTACCTTCATAATTTAAATAATTTGTAACCATTTGTAGCGAGATACTATATACTTTATGATATGTTCCATGTTATGTATATGGATTTTAGTATCTCTTGTATCTCTTTAATTTAAGCTTCTTTTGTTGATTTAAAGAAAGAAATTAAAAAAAAAAAAAAAAAAAGGTTTAGCGGGGTGACTAAGATGGTGGTGCTAGCGGTGTGACTAAGATGGTGGTGCTTTGTATATGTGGTGTGATGTATTTAGAATCCATGCACATGTGCATATTTTATTGGAAGTGGATGTGTTTTTGTGTGAGAGGATATTTATGGTCTTCTATCCTGACCTTGAGGGTGTTATGGTGGGGAACTTCTAACATTGGATGGGAGGTGACCATGCCAACTATGATGCCCAAATTCACTCTTGATGGAATTCCTTTTAGTGAGAGTGAATTGTGTTAAGATAAGTGGGCTTGGGTGGTGACCTTGTGTTTTGTCCAAGTGCTCCTAGGCTACTTTGACTTTGAGCGTCTTGTGAGATTTTGAGATTGATACCACATACATATAGAATTATAAGAGCATGAGTTTGCATAAGTCCTTAAAAAGGAGGAGTGTGTTATCTAATGTTGATTGAAATTTCTTGAGATTGAGATATAAATTAAATGAATTAACATTAGATGTTGTTACATATTCATATTCATGTATGCCTATGCCTATGTGAGATATATTCTAACTCCTCTTATGTTGTGTTGTTTTTCTTGCTTGGGTTGCACGTCAATTGTAGCAACTAATCAGGTATATGAGTTTGAACTTAATGGAAGCAAAGCAAGCTTTGGTTTTCTAGTGTGATGGGAGTTGCTTTGATTAGTCTGACATTAAAGTTTGAGAACTTAGATTTATGTTTTCATTATATGTATTTGAGAACTTTGGTCATAACTTTAGAGTTTCTTTATTATGTATATTTTTTTTCTTAATTTCTTCTCAGAACCTGTAAAGATGATTTTGCTTAGTTATTTCTTTTACTAGAACTCGCTTTATTAATGAACATAAAATAGGTTTTATTCAATTAAAAAAGTGATGTGAATAAATAAAAGGGTTTATTAAATCATAATAAATAAAATTATCATAATTATAAAATGTATTTCATAAAATTTATTAAATTGATTTTCATGTTATATAAAATAATTTTTTAAGATTTAATAACTTAATTGACTAATTTAATTAAAATATATTTCTTTTATAATCACCTTAATATAAAATTACAAAAAAGTGCCTTAATTATTATATTTAAATATAATAATATATTTTTATGATTAGAAAAAAAAATAGAAATAGATAAGAACATCTTTACCAATTACTTTCTCCTTCCCTTACACTAAGTTAGAGGAAGTAGAAGTCTCAGTTCCCATCAAAGCAAACACTCAACCTGCAGTAGTAGGTCGATTCACTCTCTAAACACTTTTGGGCTAACTAGCCCTTATTGAACAATCTCTAGAGATATGGTTAATCTTGTCACATTTGTAACACTTGTTTTCCTTCTGGGAATGATCCCTAATATAGTGAGCTTCCCCACACCTAAAGCATTTTACACCTAGAGCTTCACCTTGAGAAGTCACTGGAGGTCGCCTTACAACAACGCTCCCATTATTGTTGAGGAGGTGTATTGTAATATTCCAAATTTTATTAAATAAAACAGGTTA